GTCAATACCAAGCTGTTTTCATTGCTGTAGCTCTGTAATAGAGCTTGATGTCAGGGATGGCGATGCCTCCAGCAGTTCCTTTGTTGTGCAGGATTGTTTTCACTATCCTGGGTTTCTTTTTTTTTTTTTTCCAAGAAGAGTTAAGAGTCTATCTTGTTTTTTCATATGAAGTTGAGTATTGTTCTTTCAAGGTTCTGTGAAGAATTGTGTTGGGATTTTGATGGGGATTGCATTGAATCTATAGATTGCCTTTGGTAAGATTGTCATATTTTACTGTGTTGGTCCTTCTTATCCAAGAGCATGGGAGATCTTTCCATTTTCTGATATCTTCCTCAATTTCTTTCTTCAAAGACATAATGTTCTTGTCAAATAGGTCTTTCACATCCTTTGTTAGTGTTACCCCCGAGATATTTTATGTGATTTGTGGCTATTGTGAAAGGTGATGTTTCTCTGATTTCCCTTTCAGCTTTTTTATCCTTTGTGTATAGGAGGGCTACTGATTTTTTTTATTTATTTTTATTTTATTATTATTATTTTTTTATTTTATCTTGTATCCTGCCACTTCACTGAAGGTATTTATCAGCTGTCGGAGTTCTCTGGTAGAGTTTTTGGGGTCACTTATATACACTATCATATCATCTGAAAATAACAAAAGTTTAACTTCTTTCCAGTTTGATCCCCTTCATCTCCTTATGTTGTCTTATTGCTATTGCTAAAATTGAAAGAACTATGTTGGAGAGATATGGAAACAGTGGACAGCCTTGTCTTGTTCCTGATTTTAGTGGAATCGCTTTGAGTTTCTCTCCATTTAATTTGATGGTAGCTGTCGGCTTGCTGTATATTGCTTTTATTGTATTTATATATGATCCTTGTATCCCTAATCTCTCCAAGACCTTTATCATGAAGGGGTGTTGTATTTTGTCAAATGCTTTTTCTGCATCCAATAAAATGATCATAGGTTTTTTCTTTTAGTTTATTTATATGATGGATTACATTGATTGATTTTCATATGTTGAACCAGCCCTGCATCTCTAGGATGAAGCCTACTTGTTCATGATGGATGATTTTTTTTTGATGTGTTCTTGGATTCAGTTTGCCAGAATTTTATTGAGAATTTTTGCATCCATGTTCATAGTGAGATTGGTCTGTAATTCTCTTTCTTGGTATGAGTCTTTGTGCGTTTTTGGTATTAGAGTAACTGTAGCTTTTTAAAAAGAGTTTGGCAGTAAGCCTTCTGTTTCTATTATGTGGAACACTTTGAGGAGTATAGGTATTAGCTCTCGAAAGTTCTGGTAGAATTCAGCACCAAAACCATCCGGCCCTGGGCCTTTTTTTTTTTTTTTTGGTTGGGAGATTTTTGATGGAAGCTGCTATCTCCTTGCAGCTTATAGGTATATTTAAATTGCTCACCTGGTCTTGATTAAATTTTGGTAGGTGGTATCTATCTAAAACGTTGTCCATTTCTTTAACATTTTCCAGTTTTGTGGAGTATAGATTTTTGTAGTAGGACCAAATGATTCTCTGAATTTCTTCCATGTCTGTTGTTATAACCCCCTTTTTATTTCTAATTTTGTTAATTTGGATATTCTCTCTTTGCCTTTTAATTAGTTTGGATAAGGGTTTGTCAATCTTGTTGATTTTTTTCAAAGAACCAGCTCTTTGTTTAATTGATTCTTTGTATGGTTTTCTGTGTTTCTATTTTGTTCATTTCAGACCTCAACTTGATTATTTCCTGTCTTCTCCTTTTGGGTAAGTCTGCTGCTTTTTTTTCTAGAGCTTTCAGGAATGCTGTTAGGCCATTTATGTGAGCTTTCTCTGTTTATGTGGGCACTTAGTGTTATGAACTTTCCTCTTAGCACTGCTTTCATTGTGTCCCATAGGTTTGGGTATGTTGTGTCTTAATTTTCATTGAATTCAAGGAAGCTGTTAATTTCTTTCTTTATTTCTTTCTTGACCCAGGAGTGGTTCCAGTAGTTGACTGTTCAGTTTCCATGAGTGTGTAGGCTTTCTGGGAGTAGTTGTTGTTGAATTCTAACTTTACTCCATGGTTATCTGATAAGACACAGTGGATTACTCCAATTATTTTTTTTTTGTATTTGTGGGTGTTTGTCACTGAGAATGTGATCAGTTTTAGAGAAGGTTCCATGAGATGCTGAGAAAAAGGTATATTCATTTTTGTTTAGGTGGAATGTTCAATAGATGTCTGTTAAGTCCATTTAATTCATTACATCTGTTAGTTCTCTTATTTCTCTGTTAAGTTTCTGTCTGTTTGACCTGTCCATTGGCGAGAGAGGAGTGTTGAAATCTCCTATTATTAGTGTGTGTGGGGTTTGATGTGCGATTCAAGTTTCAGAAATGTTACTTTTACATATGTGGGTGCTCTTGTATTAGGGGCATAGATATTCAGGACTGAGACTTCATCTTGATGAATTGTTCCTGTTGTGAGTATAAAATGTCCTTTTCCATCTCTTCTGATTGATTTTAGTTTGAAATCAATTTTGTTAGATATTAGAATAGCCACACCTGCTTGTTTTTTTAGGTCCATTTGATTGGAAAACCTTTTCCCAAACCTTTACTCTGAGGTAGTGTCTGCCTTTGAGGTTGAGGTGTTTCTTGTAAACAGCAGAATGTTGGATCCTGTTTACGTATCCATTCCTCTTTGCCTTTGTCTTTTATTTAAAGATTAATTTATTTATTATGTATACAACATTCTGCCTCCATGTATGCCCGCACGCCAGAGGAGGGCGCCAGATCTCATTACAGATGGTTGTGAGCCACCATGTGGTTGCTGGGAATTGAACTCAGGACCTCTGGAAGAGCAGCCAGTGCTCTTAACCACTGAGCCATCTCTTCAGCCCCCAGCCTTTGTCTTCTTATAGGTGAATTGAGACCACTGATGTTAAGCTCTGGTTATCTTTCAGTAGTAGTGTCTATGTGTTTCCCTTCTTTGGGTTATGCTGGCAGGGGGGTTATCAGATGCCTGTATAATTGTGGGTATAGCTAGCTTCCTTGGGATGTGGCTTTTCTTCTAGTACTTTCTGTAAAGCTGGGTTTGTGGATAACATGTTGTTTAAATCTGTTTTTGTCCTGGAATATCTTGCTTTCTCCATCGATGGTGAGTGGAAGCTTTGCTGGGTACAGTAGTCTGGGCTTGCATCCATGGTCTCTTAGTGTCTGCAGCACATCTATCCAGGACCTTCTGGCTTTCATGGTTTCCATTGAGAAGTCAGGTGAAATTCTGATAGGTTTTCCTTCATATGTTACTTGACCTTTTTCTTTTGCAGCTCTTAATATTTTTGTGTTCTATATGTTTTGTGTTTTGATTATTATATGGGGATGGGATTTTTTTTGATCCTGTCTATTTGGTATTCTGTAAGCTTCTTGTACCTTCATAGGTTTATCCTTCTTTAGGTGGGAAAGTTTTCTTCTATATAATTTTGTTGAATATATTTTCTGTGCCTTTGAGCTGGAATTCTCCTTCTTCTACTCCTATTATTCTCAGGTTTGGTCTTTTCATGTCCCAGATTTCCTGAATGTTTTAAGAATTTGTTTGACCAATGAGTCTATTTCCTCAATAGAATTTTCAGGGCCTGAGATTCTTTCTTCTGACTCTTGTATTCTGTTGGTTATACTTGTCTCTGTAGTTCCTGTTCCTTTACCCAGATTTTCCATTTCAAGAGTTTGCTCGGTTTGTATTTTCTTTATTACCTCTATTTCAATCTTCACATCTTAAACTGTTTCCTTCACCTGTTTGATTGCTTTTTCTTGGTTTTCTTGTGTTTCTTTGAGGGATTTATTAATATCTTCCAGCTTTTTGTTTGTCCTCTCCTCCATTTCTCTAAGGGAGTTTTGCACTTCCTCTTTAAAGGTCTCCATTGTTTTCATTAAGTACCGTTTTTAAAGTCGTTTTCTTCTATATCTTCTGGGTTAGGATGATCAAGTCTTCCTGTTGTGTGTCTGCTGGGTTCTGCTGGTACCATGTTGCTTTTTAGGACGTTGGAGGAGTTCTTGCATTGGCGCCTTCCCATCAACTCTTATGTCTACAAGAATTGGTTTCCATGGAGCTCACAGGGAAAGACCCGTTGGAGGCGGGATAGATGGCTGTGTAGCACACAAGCTCCTGCTGGCTGCTAGGAATGCCAAAGGCATCTGGGGAGGGGGTCCCTGGCCTTTCTCCCACGTGGAGATTTTAGGGAGTGGGGGGTGCAGGGTCCCAGGGCCACTGTTGTCTCACCTCTGATGTCCACAAAGTATTGGTCTCCACGGAGCTGGCAGGGAAGGATGTGTTGGGGGTGGGGTAGATGGCTGTCTAGCAGACCAGCTCCAGGGCCTGGGGAGGGGGTCATGGTCTTTCTCCCACATGGAGGTTTTAGGGAATGGGGAGGCCGGGGTCCCAGGGTCACTATTGTCTCACCTCGTATGACCTCCAAGAATTGGTCTCCAAGGAGCTCACAGGGAACATTGCATTGGGGTAGAGTTTCTTTCTACACACAGAGAAGCCTACACATGGGTGTTTCTGGCCACTTTATTCATAATTACTAGATCTTGGAGCAATCAAAAATCTCTATGGTTATGGATAAACTGTTACATCTGGAGAATGAAGTAGTCAGTTCTAAAAATTAGTAGATTATGAAGCCATGAATAAAGAAGATCTTTAATACATATTGCTCAATGAAAGAAACCAAAAGATACTTCAAAACATATGCACACGTTAATTAATTATTTAACTGAGTTATTTGTGAAAATTACAAACTTACCTTATTAATAACTATTATAGTAATAAATATTAAGCTAATCCCCCAATATCTATAGATTTGTAGACTCATGAGTAAAAATGGGATTCAGATGTCTGATAAAAGCTTTTAACATGTTTATTTCAAAGGTACTGTAGAGTGCTTAACTAGAAACTATGAAATATGAAAATTTGGAAATAATTGAACTTGGTTCTCATCTATTTTTCTTTTTCAACAAATCATTACTTTTATTTTAGATTTCAGCAGCTGACCTCCCAGGTCTGATAGAAGGAGCACATATGAACAAAGGAATGGGCCACAAGTTCCTCAAGCATTTAGAGCGAACCAGACAACTGCTCTTTGTTGTAAGTCATACATTTCAGTGATGTTCACATGACTTAGCTTGGTTTCCCTGGAAACACTTTATAGTAAAATTAAAGATAATGTGACACAAACCCCACTTTCATCATTGCTGGTCTGTTGTTCATCCTGTAGAGGCGTCAAACGCTTTTACAACCTGGTGGCATCAGAGCCATCTTAGACGTGTGATCGTGATAAGATCATTGGGCATGTTTTCAGAATGTAGCTCTGGTATATTAGGTACATGACTGTACTAATAAATATCACTCCAGTAAGTCTGTGTCAACGGGGACAAGTCAGTAGATCACTGTTTATAGCGTGGGGGTGGAAATGCTGTTGCTACTGTAGTGTGTGTACGTTTGGCCATACTTAGCAAGACTTGATTCCTGGAGATTTTGGCATGCTCTTCTATAGTATCTCTTATATTCTTAATTGGTGATGCTTAAGTTATGGATGAGATTGTTTATAATAATATCAATTATCTGTACTAGTTTTTCACCAATGACTCATTTTATAGTAATGCTTATAGCTATCATAACAACTCAATTTCTGTTTTTGCACTTCATGACTAAGTTGCCAGTAAAACGTACGTTGAGAAATGATTCAGAGAGAAGACATTGCTAAACATAGAACTGAGCAACCGTTTTATGTACTGGGTTCTCTCTTCTCTTTTTTTAGGTTGATATTTTGGGATTTCAGCTCTCTTCTGTAACTCCATACAGAAGTCCCTTTGAAACAATAATACCTTTTACAGAAGTAAGGTGTTTGTGGGTTTTTTTCTGTGTTCTGGAGCTAGTTCTCCTTTTATGTGAGTCACACAGTAATCAGAATAATCACCTTTTTAAAGATTTTATCCAGTTAAAGAATCAAAGTTGCTATTTCCAGTTCTTTAGTATTCCCCGTTTCTCATTATTATGTGGGTACTGCCCTCTCATGCCCCATGTCCCTTCTCAGCTGACCTTGTTTCTGCCCTGGCGTCTGTCTTCTTGAAGCATTCCCCACTTAAAATACTCTGCTCACTCTTTTCTCCTTTTGTGGAGGTACTGATGGTCAAGCCATGAACATTGCACAAGCATTCCACCATTAAGCTGAAATCCCAGCACTTGTCTTACCATTTAAGCAAGGTTACTGAGAGTTATTTGTGATCTTACCCACTGCCATTATTTCCCATTGCCTACAATGAATGTAGCCTTGACTGCCAAATCTGTAACCGATAACCAGATCTTTGCTCCTGCTTTAGACTGGGTACTTACTAGGCATCTGTGAGTGAGTGACATGTTAACCACTCACAGTCAGAAGCAAAACAACCCAATCTGTTTTGGTTTAATTCTTTAGCGACCCCCACAGCTTTTGATATTTACTAAGTACATATGCCTTTTCTGAGAATGCAACAATACTGAATTGTTATTTTTGGCCTATGAGTCTTTTCTCTGTTGAGTCTAGTTACTTTCATTTGGCTCTAGACACAAAATCAGCTGCTTCTGAGAAGTCGTGTGAGCTAACATCTTATTCACATGGTTTAGTAAAAAGCATTTTCTGAATTTCCTTTGTTGGTTTTATAGCTGCTGGGATTTATTGCCCTGTGGTGATGCGAATAAGCCCCAGATTATCCAGGTCATTAAAGAAATATCGCTGTAGTATTCATTTATATACATACTGATATAAAATTACTTGGTTTCTCTTTTTATTTAAAGGAGTTGGAGTCATACAAAGAGGAACTGCAGACAAAACCTGCACTCTTGGCAGTTAATAAGATGGACTTGCCCGATGCCCAGGTTAAGCTTGACGAACTGATGAAGCAGCTCCAGAACCCCGCAGGTAAAGCGTCATTCACTTCTCTGTTCCTCGGTACTAGCTGCATCACAGAATGTTGGGGCATTTTTGGTGAAGGGGTTAATGTTTTGAGACAGGGTTTCCTGTAACCCAGTCCTGCCTCTACCTCCCAGGTGCTAAGGTTATAAGTATTAATATCCTGACCAATGATAGTAAAAATCAATGGGAAAGAAAATCAGTAGTTTCTACTCTGAGAAACTATATTTGAACTCATAATGTATAAGCACTGAAGTATCATTGACCTGTCATTATCAAGTCTCCAAATGATGATGCAGTTAAGTTAGAAAAAGAAAAGAAAGATTACTTTGGTCCAAAAAGGTAAAGTTTTATAAAGAATTAAAATTTATGTGGACCTTTAAAGGGTATGGGAGGGGGCCCAGAGATGTCGCAGCCATTGAGAGCACACGCTATGGTGAAGGACCAGAGTTTGGTTTCCAGCATCCATGTCGTAGCTACCTGAACTCCAGCCTCAGGAGGGTTTGCTGGCTCTTGTGCTCACACACATCTGTATCCCAGACATCCATTATTAAAGATAAAATAAATCTTTTTGGTTGGTTCTTGGGTCTGTTTGTTTTTATTTTTTCTTATTTTTAGACAGGGTTCTGTAATGTATGCCTGCCTGGCCTAACAATAACTGTGTGGACCAGGTTGGCTTTAAACTCAGAGATCCACCTGCTTCTCCCTCCTCAGTGCTGAGATTAAAGCTGTGTACCATCATAACCAGCTAAAAATAAAATAAAACTTTAAGAAAAAGAAGACAAAACTAAAATAGAGGAAATGTGGGTAAAAGGAGGAAAAGTCTACAGCTAACCATGAAGCGTGAGCAGGTTTTATCAACTCCACAATTTGTCTCTGTACAATAGTGCAGTACACTATTAACAAACCCAGTAGGGTTTTACCTGTGTTTAGGATTTTATATATGTCTGGGTGTTTTTTCTGTGTGTCTGTCTGTGTACCATGTGCATGTCCAGTAGAAGGTGTCAGATCTGGGACTGGAGTTATAGACAGTTGTTAGTTAGCTTGCTGGAACTTAACCTGGGTTCTCTGGAAGAGCAGCCAATACCCTTGACTGCTGAGCCATCTCTCCAGCTTGAGAGCTGGTAGCTTTAAGAAAGTTTAAGAGGTTTTTTGTTTTACTACATTAATTTAGTAACTCTGAAGAATATCAGTTTTTAGAAAAGAACATCTAGTCCTGTGTTTATGTGACACAGAAAATACATCCTCTGACTAAAAGGATTTGTCTGAAACTTCCTAAATGAAAATATTTCCACTATATAAAGAAACTCAGGGGTCTGTCTTAGTCACTGTTCTGTTGCTGTGAAGAGACACAGTGACCAAGACAACTCTTACGAAGGAAAGCATTTAACAGGGGACTTAGTCCATTGTCATCATGGGGCGGGGAGCATGAGCCTGGAGCAGTATCTGAGCGCTGAATCCTGGGCCACAGGCAGAAAGAGAAACAGACATGAGAGACACTGGGCCCTATCTGGGCTTTTTGAGATGCCAAGCCCACGTACTTTCTCCAACAAGGCCACACCTCCTCATCCTTCTAATCCTAGCAAAGAGTTCCACTTGTGCTGACTGAAGATTCTAATGTGTGCGCGTGCAGGGGCCGTTCTGATTCAGACACCAGAGACTCTCCACAGTGTGGAGAACTGGCTGTGGTAAACACTATTATCCTGTAGCGATGATGGTCTTAGCTTCTGGTCTAGAAGAAGGCTCATGTGCACATAGGAGCAGTGGCACAGATGACAAGTGGCCTCCGCTTTTGAAGAATGCTGATTTGTCTCCTTTCTGTTCAGGACTGATAATTGAGGAAAACAGACTTTAATATACTAGGATGAGCAGACAGCACCAAGGTCATTTTTCTTCTCTTGAAAATGGTTCCCCACATGGTGTACGTGTTAGAACTGTCCCTGAGACAGCACATTAGTCCTGGGTCATACGTACTCCCTAATAGTGTTCATTCCCTAATGGCATTTGCTTTTGTAGGTCAGTAGTCAGTTCTTTTTGCTTCTTGTGTTTGTTGGCTTTCCCAACATGCTTTGCTGCCAGATCATTGCCACCTTCTCTGGTCATCTCTGCAAGCAGGATGAGGTATCAGCCTGATGGTGGTGGGTTGGTGTGCAGCTAGAAGTGGTGGAGAAAAGAGTCACTTGGGGCACACTTTCTGAGAATCTTCCCACATCTGCTAGCAACCGTCCTTGCTCCAGTCAGTCAGAATGGCAAGGACCTGGGCTGTCTTCACGTAGCCCGACGCTCCACCTGGAGGCCCTCAGGGTCAGCTGGGGACCACTGGAGAATCACATTAGGGAATACGTTCTTTCCAGCTCCTTGCACCGCAGTTTTGATCCTCAGTAATAGTTGGGGAGCTCTGGTGTCTGAGAGAACTAATGGTCACAAGCTTCAGTTAGGGATGTGGCCTAGAAGATTGAGTTGAGCAATGCTTGTAAGTCATGAAAGTCAGTGTTGTTTTTATTCCTTTGTATCCATGTATATATAAAATCACATCTCTTCTTTTTCAGATGTTAATTTCTTTTTTCTTTTTTCTTTCACCTTTAGGAGAATGTCCTGGGACTCCAGTGCAGTGAGTGCCGAGCCGGCACCTTTGCTTTGCAAACTGTCAGCCCCCTAGGCTGCAGCCCATGCTTCTGCTTTGGTCTGTCCCAGCTCTGTTCAGAGTTGGAGGGGTATGTAAGGGCTCTGGTAAGTCCCGTACACACAGTTGACAGGGTCGTAGCCTTTTTTCACCTTTGAGAGTCAGGTGGACATTGGGAGGGAGCAAAGACATTAGAAATTTTAGGATAGTGATTTGCTTGGCATACAGCCAGAGTGCCTCTCCAAGGAGTACCTACTGTCATTGACACTTGCTCCAGGGGAGCAATAGCTTGAACCTAATCACAGTGCTTCAGGTCTTCCTGATCCAGACATACAATCTAAAGGAAAACGCTTTACTCTCTAGCCTTTAAATGAAGCTATTTCATCTGTGGACTACTCGGGGATCTAAGAGATCAGATCTGGGCTCTCAAAGTGTGTGTGCGTGTTTGTGTGTGTGTGTGTGTGAGTATATGTGTATGCATGCATGCGAGTGTGTGTGCATGTATGTGTGTATGTGTATGAGTGTGCGTGCGTGCATATGTGGTGGGTGCATGTGTGTGTGTGTGTGTGTGTGTGTGTGTGTGTGTGTAGAAGCCAGCAGGATGATGTTAAATATCCCTGCTCTATTACTTTCCACTATAGTCCCTCGAGCCTGGGTCTTGCACTGCACTTGGAGTTGGCTAGCGGCCTGTGAACCACAGTTATCCTTTCTCTGTACCCTATACTGGGGTATGGGCACACATGCAGCCTCGCCCAGTGTTTTGAATGAGTGCTGGTACATCATGGGTCCTCATCCTTACACCACCAGTACTGTTACCACTGTGTCTGGGTACTTAACCTGAAGTGCATCTTTCTCTTTTCCATGCCTAGATAATGCTTGCCCCCGATCAGCTCCTCCTGCATGTGGTTTCCCAGAGCAACCTCAAGGGCACAGTTGAAGGCGTGCATTTCCAGGACCCTGACACCTTGCTGGATGCAGAGGCTGTCCACCAGCATGTCCATGGGGAGCCATTTTACTGGCAGCTTCCAAAACAGTTTGAGGGAGATCAGGTGAGCACACGCCAGCCCCGCCCATTCCCTTCCCAGAGAGAAAATCAGAGTGCCTGCTTCTGCCCATCATTAAAGGACTGGCTACTCAGTGGCTCTTCTGGGTGAGGGTGGAGACATCCAGCGCTTATAGAAAACCCCTGCAGAGGTGTGGGTCTTCAGATGTTTAGATTTGTAAATCTTTTACGGTTTCCTTAGTTGACATTATTTTTTCTCCCTTCTAAAGCAATAATTCAAGAAGCCTATAATGTAGTTACTAGTAGCTGCTGAATGTGCTCCTCAGTGCTAGGTCTGCCCTGGGGAGAACAGCGGTCAGTTGGTGAGCACAGCGGTCAGTTGGTGAGCACCATCCTGTGAAAGGGCGGTTGCAGGCTTTGAGAGCCGTTCTAATTTAATCTGATGCTGAGTTTTCTGGGATAGGGTTCAATTTTCCATCCTCCTGCCTCAGTGTCTTGAATGCTAGGGTAACTGATGCTCTCCACCATGCAGGCTCACTTTGATCTTTAAAGTATATAAATCTACTCCAGTGGTCGCATGGATGAGGATGATTTAATTTAAAGGAGCCTGAAGGTAATTAGAGTCCTTGCCCTGTGTGCCGGTGGTGTCTGGTGACATTACCTTTGGTGGAATCACTGGGAAGCTTAGCCTAGCTCTATCTCATTGTTAATGTGCAGATTAGAAGGCCGATCCCAGAACACATGTTTGAAGTTGGATACATAATAACATGTAATGCCTTTTGTGTAATGGCAACCTTTCCACAAAACATCTTTAAACCAAGGCTGGGTCACCAGAATAACATGAGTTTGTCATTTGTTAGCTCTTGGCTTACAGAGGGAAACACATCCAATTACGAACCTCAAGTTCTCATCAATGGAGGTCGGGCCAGGAAGCACATCATTATATGGATGCCCCAGCGCCAGAGAATGGAGTGAGACCAACTTACGACGTGGGAATGAAAGAGGTGATGTGTGGTTGTTCCACATACGTGCGTTCCTTCGGGAAAAGTCTAGAGTGTAATAAAGACAGCAAGAAGGCCCTGGTCTAAGCTCCAGTGAGCTTATCAAGAGTTCTAAATGTGATTGACCTTTCATGGCCTCACAAAAGCACAGCTTTGCTGTCCACAGCTTTAGATATGCAAGTTCAGCTGAAGGCCAGAAACGCTTCTTAAGCTTATGAGTGCTATTTTTAGTGAGTTGATGAACTCGTGTGCCCTGCCTAAGATGCATGGTCTCATCCCTTTAGCGAGTACATCCTCCTTGTATGTCACCTGCCCGCCCACCCGCCCACCCGCCCTCCCTCTCTCCCTCTCTTCCTCTCTTTCTTTCTTTCTTTCTTTCTTTTTTTTTTTTTTGAGACAGGTTTCTCTGTAGCTTTGAAGCCTGTTCTGGAAGTAGCCCTTGAAGACAAGACTGGCCTCAAACTCCCAGAGATCCAGCTACAGCTGCCTCTGGAGGCCGGGATTAAAGGCCTGTTCCACCACCGCCGGGCTATTTTTTTTCTAATGTAAGCACTTACAAGTTTCCCTTTTAGGACTGTGATTAGTACAGTTATTAGAAGTTATTTTGCATTGTGCTTTCATTAATTTACAGGAATACTTGGATGTTCTCCTTACGTTATCTTGTGAACCACTCTTTATTTAGCAGTGTGTTATTTCTTCTGCCAAAATTGCCTAATTTCTAAACCTTCATTGTTCCTTATTTCATCACAGTCATCTAAAATATAATCGTGAAATCATTTGCATTTTTATTTGTGGAAAAAAAGTAGGTTGTATGCAGACCAAGGACCGAGTACTCTGTTTACCTACTGACAAGGTATTGACCTACAGTGATATCCCTGTCACCCAGAGGCAGGACTGGGGGACACACAGGAGTCCTGACTTCTGGAAGTTCCTGGGGGCAGTTTCAGCTTTTGCACTTGACCCCATTAAAACGGGGCCTCTCCCTCCCTTTGGAGCATTTGCTCTCTCTGTAAATTCGAACCTACCAAGCAATTCCATAAAGTCTATCCTAAATTGACCAGGTCCCTGAGGACAGCTAGCATAGGCTCGCACCCTCCCCAACCCCTCTGTACCAGGGACCACAAGGAACCCACAGCAGCAGGTGGCCTGGGTCTGAGTATTGCCCATTAAGGCCAGCCCTCCATCCAAGTGCCTCTGTGGTGGAGTGAGGCAGTGGAGTCCAGGGAGTGAGAGGTTGCAGGGGCCAGAGCAGGACCAGCTGAGAGGGCACAGGGCAGGTCCTGGAGGGAGGAAGAGAGGGTGGGAGGGAGGGAGGGAGGGAGGGAGGGAGGGAGGGAGGGACTGAGGGAGGAAGGCAGGGAGAGGAGGAGGAAGGGCAGAGGTCTAGGGAGTCCCAGTGGCAGTGGGGTTGTGCTGGGGTCCTGACTGCCAGGATATCTTTCCATCTGAGCTGTAACAGTTAGACTTAGCCCATGGGTGGGGGGGGCACGACACGTTGTTATAACGCTGTTCAAGATGCCCTGGGAGGTAGAGGAAGCTGGCTTGGTCAGTCAGTGAAAACAAGACTGTCAGCAGCACTCACTCTTCTGAGGTCTCCATTCCATTTACTACCTCCTGGTCCCTGCCCTGGTTGTGTTCCTCCCTTAACTGCCCTTCAATGATGGTCAATTATAGTGAGTGTTTTGTTTGTGTTTTTAAAAATAAAGCTTGCCTGGAAATCAGAGCTCAGAGCCACCAGAGGCCAGGCAGTGATGGCTCACACCTTTAATCTCATTACTTGGGAGTCCATGCCCTTCAATCCATTACTTGGGTGTCTCTTGCCTTTAAATCCAGCACTAGGGAGGTGGAGATGGGAAGGGATGTGGCTGGGCAGAGAGAGAAATAGGAGGAGAGAGGAGACAAGAGCTCACTGCAGTCTGAGGCTTGGTGGAGACAGATGCATTCTGTAATGCAGGACAGGATCCCCTTCCTTTCTGAGCATAAGAACTCTAGGGCTTGACCCCTTACTTCCCTGATCCTCATCATTAACCCCTATACCTGTCTCTTGGGTTTTTATTAAGAACAACTAGAATTTGTGTTAGAGTAAATGATGTGTGAGTCAAATAACCCTTCTCCACCCCAAGTTACTTTTCTTGGTGATATTTGTGACATTAATGCAAAGTAACCTAGGACAGACATGTACTTGACCATTGGTCCTGCTCAGAGGCAGGGGATACTTTGGTGGCAGAGAATGAAGGAGAAAGGGACGCTGAGAGACAGGCCCCATTTGAGAATGGCAGTTGGTGGGCAGAACTGTGGGGGATGGGCAAGCCCTAACTGCCACAAGCTGGGGTTGGTTCAACTCACTTTATGTGACCACTTCTGCAGAGGTGGTCCTCATATAGGGGGCTCTATCTCCTCATGACATTTCTAGTTTCTACACACATCTCAAAAGCATGAAGATAATTTCCTTTGCTAGTCTGGGGGTTTCTTGAAGAATTTGCCAGTGTAGCACACTGAATGCATTTGGGGAGAGGCAGGGAGGGGAGCAGAGAAAAATGTAGAGCTCAAAGAAAAAGGAGTTAAAAGTTGTTTTCGTAGAGGATCTTTACCTCCTTTTTTAGTTATATTTCTAGATCATAAGCTTTACTAAAGCTATTGTGCACGGGATGTTGAAATGATCACTTTCTCTGCATGCTTGTTGTTATAGGTATAAAAGTACCAATGATTTTTGTTAGTTTTCATCTCCTTGATACTCTTCTGGATGCATTAATAATTTCTATAGGTTTTAATTTTCGATTCATGTATAATATAATGTTATCTATAAGTATAGATGATACAAAATTCTTCTTTTGCTGCTTGGATACCTTTAATTTCTTTATCTTCCATGACTGATGTATCTCATGCTTCAAGCAATATGCTGAAAATGAATGGGAACAGTGGACAGCTCTGTCTCTTTACAGATTTTAATGTAATTAATTGCTTTGAGTTTTGCTCCATGTAGAATGACATTGTCTATGAGTTTGTCATCTAAAAACCTTTTATTATGTTAAAATATGACCCCTATAGTTCTTCTGTCTTTGGGAC